TACGGCTGTTATTAACGTCTCAGATTGCATGTAACATGCATGAACTCTGACGTCAATAGCTCCTACAACTACATTATAGTATTAACTACTTGTACAGACTACAGCAAATCATTATAAAACATTGTATGCCTTACATCGTTGTAACAAGTACTGTTTTTCAACTAAAACATGTGCTGTACATGTGACAATCACACACAGTCGTTTGATCGAGTGATATCGCTTCATTTATAACCACACTATTGGAAAAATAAAGGTATATTCGTATTAATAGGCGTGAACGGGGCGTGCCCCTGTGTGTGTCATTATATCTATGAGACATTTGATATGATAGCGTTCAATCATTTTTACTGTAAGTGACTATCACACCACTTTGCAATGGAGGGAAGTCGAGCCTTAACTTCGAACTCCTATGTTGTTCAAACAAAACTATCTTCAATGCGTATTGATACACCTGCTACGTATTTATCAACTGCTAGATATCTTCGCTTACGTAAATACTAATTTCCATCAGAACAAAGGTGAAATTGTGGACCATAATATCCTATTGTTCCACCTATTGTACTTTATGACGTGTTGATAAAGTTCAAAATTGATTGGTCTGGCTCCGATTGTTCTGTGAAGTGATATTGACACGATAAGATTGAAAAATAAAAGAAATAAATAATCATTGTTTATTGACTTTGCGTTGAAAAATTAACCAATTGTATGTACTTAAGTAAGTACGACTACATTTTTATTACAAAAATAGCTCATATTTCAACTACATAAGAACTGTAGGTTTACCTTGACGTGCAGTGTCTGTACGTTTTATTTTTACTGACGTCATCATCATCACGTAGACTGTTGCTAAGCCCTGCACACTTAACACTATTGATTGACCTTTATGTCTTGAGGAATAAGATCCACAGACTGCCTGTCTTGGGACCTACCCTCAGTTTTAGACAATAATAAAAGTTGGTTAACCCTTACGGGACTATTCCCACCTCTCGTTCCCACCGCTGCAACTCCTGTGCAGCTGTGTAGCCAGTATCTACAGCTTGACCGCCAATAACCCAACCAGTGAAGGTCAAGTTTGTCCCTTACACATGTGTAGTAAACGACAGAAACCTAATAAACTTTTGTAGCTGGCTGTACTACCCTCGGTTTTAGACAATGAAATAATAAAAGTTCGTTAACCCTTACTGTGCCTTACACATGTAGTAAACAACTTACTTCATTTATATTTAACTAGTCTGGTTTTATTGGAGGAAATGGTTAAAGTGGTTTAATATTTATCAATAAGCAGTTCAATTTTTTTTCCGTCTGTCACCAGCTTTGCCCTGGAGGGAAGTCGAACCGTAACTTTGAACTCCTATACTCTTCTGTTTAATTTCGTTGCGGGTCCAACGACAGTTCAACTTTCCCCCGGGACAAACTTGACCTTCACTGGTTGGGTTATTGGCGGTCAAGCTGTAGATCCTGGCTACACAGCAGTTGCAGCAGTGGGAACGAGGGGTGGGAATAGTCCTGAGCAGTATTTTGTAGTCATTTGTACGAAATCGCTGTCACGTTGTTCTGCGCATGGCATAGCAAACACGATGTTCTTGTCTAACTATAGCTACTGCGATCATAGTCGTGCGAGTATTCCAATGAGTCTGGGATAGAAAATTATTTATTCAAATCTAAACTTTACACTTGATTTTTTTTTTTTTTTTATTTTTGAAAAGGAAATAAAAAAATCCTTGGGAATTTTTCGTAATAGTTGTTAAAAATGTCATTAACATTATTTGTTAAGAATCGAAATATCTATACAAATTACTGTAATCAGTAAATTGTAATGTTCGTCGAATGGTCGTATCGTTTTTCTTCCATTTTTCAGAATTTGGATTCAGTAAGAAAAATGCACTTAGCAGAAGAAATAAAATAAATACTTATCCTTGGACATTTTACTCTGCGCCTCTAGTCCCAAACTAAGCAAAGCTATGGGTACTAGACAACGGATATAAACATACTTATAGCCTGACCAGGAACATAAAAACCCTGGCGTAGAGGCGCGACAATTGCATTTGATAGTGCAACACTGGGTACAGTCGTACCTGTATTAAATTAATAGGCTAACTTTATGTATCAGGATTCAGGATTATAGGCTAATTTAATATTTTCATAAATTAACAAAAAAATATTATATTATAGGTAAACTGGTTTAAATAAATTAAATGAAACCATCAATCGAGCAAGTAGGATTTTATTATTATTCATCAATATAATCAAATTCTGAACTCGAATATTCAACTACAATGTCTGCTCATGAACGCTTCAAACTCGGTACTTCTTTCCCAATTCCATAAAATTCAATACTTACAAAGTGACAAAAAACTTTAAAATAGGTAGTTGAAACAAATCACAGCTAATTTTCATAGTTGACTGTACTATACGATAAACATGTCAGTCAATTTGACAACCTTTGTCGGAAACATTATTCAATGAAAATATTATCCGAACCCTTAGTATTTATCTTCGACAAATACTTTAACACATTGTGAACGACTTTTCTTTCACGACTATAAAAAGATTTTAGCAATTTAATTCACAAAATCAATTGCGCACATTTAAAATAAAGTTTGTTTACACTTTGACAGCAATAGACTGACATGCAAGGTGACATATCAATGAAGTTTTCAGTTACTGTTGCCATTAAAAGAAATTAGTACCATCAATTTTCCGCAACATGGCGAGGGTTTTTATGTTCCTGGTCAGGCTATAAATGATTTTTTCCATATCATAGATCAATCTTTTGTTTGATCCATACATAAAGTGAATCTCACCGAGATTTAGCATAGCAATTAGGTTTTTATCCTTGTCTGGAGGCTAAATCTCTATGCGGGTCTATCAGACCTTCCTAATGGCGCTGTATTCGCTTATTTATCATGCTGCCTTGACAGCGACCATGTACGCTATGGCCTTTACGTTTTAAAACAAATCTGAGGTCGCTAGCGTTCCGTAATCCGTATGTTAGGTCATTGCTGATATTTTAGAAACTTCCGCCCACTAGCTTTGCGCATACGCTATTTTTACTTGTTTTTATGTTGTTTTCTTCGATAGACTCGACGGAGCTGCGAGTTAGAAGTCTCCATTTTTTTTTTAACTTTCTGTAGATAAATGTATTTATTTTACAACCCATAAAGTATACCTTTGTTTTGTCTCCTGTCATCCGTTTTGCACTGGAGGGAAATCGGACCTTAACCTCGAACTCCTCCAGTGTTCTTCTGATGAATTTCGTTGCGGGTCCAATGACATTTAACTTTCCCCCTAACAAACGACCTTCACTGCTTGGGTTTTTATTGGCGGTCAAGATGTAGATCCTGGCTGCACAGGAGTTGCAGCGGTGGGAATAGTCCCGTAAAAAAAGCTAAACACTGAGGCGTTTTTTTTTATGTATTGAACTAACTCCTATTTAACAACAAAAATGTTAAAGCTGAATTAATTGTGCTATTAGCCTATACATACAATCTTCAAATGAATCTCTATTTCCAAAATGTTTAACATAGTATGCTTTGGTTAGGCTTTTTTTTATAGAAACAAAGTCTTAAAACCGGAAAAGTTTGTAAAATAAAACATGTGTAAACCTCTTTTGTTACATTCTCGAAAAATAACACTTTGGCGTCACTTATTTGCGTCACGCATAGATTATAAACAAAGCTGGTAAATATTTTGAAACTGTTATCACACAAGTCATGTACCCTTAATGTAACGGTTATTACACTTGATCTTGAAGAAAAGCGATAACTTTCTACAATAATAATGTTGTATTATTACATTATAATGATATAATCTTTATAGCGAGTTAAAAAAAAACATTTATTTCAAAAACTGCAAAGTAAGGGCTTGTTCCTACGGCTATCCAGTTTTGCAGGATCCAGAAATGCAAACTGGACTGTCATGTGAACAACATAGATGTGGGTTCAAATTAAACGGTACGGTTTTTTGCAGGACATTGCAAACGAGAAATTCATGTGAGGACTAATATGAAATCAAGACTACTACTATATTAAACGGAATCCTACAAAAAACGGGATATATCCGTGGAACAAGCCTTAATTCCTCATCTATTAAAAGTAAACAAATGTTAAATCTCCTTAACTGTAAATCGAAGGTTGCCTGCTAATTTGCATTAAATACGTCAATACAACTCTGTAAGTTCTGTAACATATTTACAACTAGCTTTCCGCCAGCGGCTTCGCCCGCGTGGAATTTTGTCTGTCACAGAAAAATTTTATCACGCGCTTCCCTGTTTCATAAACCGGGATAAAAACTATCCTATGTTCTTTCCCGGGTCTCAAACTATGTCCATGCGAAATTTCATCAAAATCGGTTCAGTGGTTTAGGCGTGAAAGAGAGACAGACAGAGTCACTTTCGCATTTATAATATTAGTATAGATGATAATTACAAGGTTGCCTCGGAATTACGCTTAATTTTTTATAAGTCCTCATATTTTGCTATCTTGAATCGCGCACGTGGATAGCAATGTGTTTGTTTAAAGTTCGTTTTTGGTTATTTAAGTGATTGTCAGTATAATACGAATTATCGGACGTGTAACTTGTGAAAATATCTGATAAATTTTATTTATCTTTATCTCGTGTTGATGAAAATGGGTAAATTGTACGTAAACAATATTATGCCGGATATCGTGCAAAATGAGTGCTTGGAATATCGAAGGTAAAATAAATGTTGTTATTATGATGAAAAAAGTTACACTATCTTTAAGTGACGTAAGATGGATTTAGATTATGTAAGACGAAGAAAAATTCGCATCATGATGTATTTGTGTAAATTATCAGCATAATATTATTATCTTATTCGCATCCTGGAAAACTTCACGCACGGGCTATTTTTATAGATGTTAGATAAATCTTTTTCTGATGTAAGGTTTTATATTTTTTAATAATTATAATTACACTCGATGATCCTCAATACTGGTAGATGACTAACAATTCTACAAGGTTGTGTTTATTCTAGTTTGTGAACGTACAATATCATAATTTTACAGGTTACTGAAATAAATTTTGTATTTTGTTGATATCCCTGTGAAGAAACCCGTCTCGCTTGCTGCGAGGAATCTTCGACGGTTCACATAAATATAGTATTAAGGGTGTAACACCCGGTGTATACTAGCGGGTTGAGGGAAAAGACCGGTGGCTATATTTTAAAGTTTCTCCAAAGCTTTACTGTCCTGTGTTTCGCGTTCGTGAGCACAGTGTACTGGCCTACAGCTGTGTTCAACCACACCTGTACGTATCTGACTTGTCACCGAGAGGCGCTAGGTGGCTGGGCAATTGTCTTTCAACAAGACATTGGTCTCCGGTAACCTGTTTTGAGCGATCCTAATCCTTGATCCTGTGAAAGACTTTCACCATATCCCCATCATCATTTGATTACTTATAATCTCGATAACTGGTTAACATATCTACTCCAAACCACTCATCAGTCCTCCTATTGGACTAATACATCACCCTTTTCCATAAATCCAAAGAATCTCCCCCAAAATCTCCCATTATCCAACTCGTATACCTTGACGATATCCTTATCCTCGCAAACTGTCGTCCCAAACAAAAACGAACCCAGCGCTCGGCGGCTCCCGCTGCGTTGCGCTGACAAGCGTCTCTTGTGGTCAGGTACTAGGGCCTCCGCGCCCGGTCGCTCAAACCGTCGGGACGACGAGCCGTGGGGGGATCGGCGCGGGCACACACAACGACATTCGGCCGCTGCCTGCTCCTCTACGCTTAGGTATGACGCTTTTTATTCTTTCACTTTGTTCGCTGTATGTTTTTTTAGTAGAATGGTGAGGCTACGCAGTTTTCTGAAATATTGTTATGATATGTGTAGTAATTATGGGTTAAAAATTTGGTACCACATTTTAAGGGTTTAGACTAGGCGTAGACCACCGATTTTTTGTCGGCCGATAGTTTAGTCGGGCAGTTAATCAATATGGGCATGTATGGAAATGCGCACATTACACCGATTGATTCTTCATACAAATTAGAATCGGGCCCAACTATCGGCCGACTAAAAATCGGTGGTCTGCGCTTAGGCTTATAAGAAAACTCACACGTGTATCACAGCCAATTTCTTAAAAAATTTAGTAGTAAAGACTCCAAAATTGGTACAGATTAACAAATACCTAATTAAGGTCAAATCAATAACTTTCATGAGTGAGGACTCAATTGAAGGATAGGCTTAAGATGAATGGTGAATTATCTTAGGAAAACTACCACATACATTTTCTGGAGTCAATTACTCTATTATTTTTGTATCTTTTAACAAAACCTTCAGAACATGTTCATATTTTTCAAATCAAAAGAAAACCAACCTCCCCATCTTATAAAACCTCCCATTAACCCCAAAACCATTCACAGGTGCCGATTCACCCTCCGCTCGTTCCGCACTCCCGATCATGTCTCGAGCGGGCGCGGGGCACCCGGATGCTGACGAAGGCGCGTGCAGCTCGCAGGGCGCGGGCGAGCGACTATACCCGGCGCTGGCGGAGTACCTGCTGCTGGAGCACAAGTTCCAGCCGCGGCTGTGCCTGCCCGGCGAGTCTGAGGTGAGAGACCACTTCTGGGCGGAAGGGGGAGCGTAAGGTAGCCTTTCGAAGCGAGTTGGTGACGCGGCGTTGGTGGCACAAGACCAAAGCTAAAGACGCTGCGTCTGTGACGCTTAGTTCCAGCCGCGGCTGTGCCTGCCCGGCGAGTCTGAGGTGAGACACGGAAGGGGAACGTTAGACAAAGGCGAGTATAAGACAAAGTAGTAACATGAGGCTAAGGAGGACAAAGAGGCGGGGTCAATGAATATAATGGAGACCATTAGACAAAAGGGGGACTGTTAGACAAAGGTGACTAACGCCCGTATTCACAAACATTACTATGAGGTCTCACAGTGCGTGTGGGCGCACAGGGTGACACACGAACCAATCACAGAGCTCTATTCAACGCTTTGCGTACGATTTTCTGCTTCACTTAAGCAAGCATCGTTTGTGAATACGGGCGTAAAAGACAAATTACTATTAGTACCACCAGACAAAAAGGGGATCATGAGACAAAATGGTGCCACGATACAAAGGAGGGACAGGAGAAGTAAGATTCTAAAAAATACGGTATTTTTTCTCATTCAGCCGCTGCCTGCGACTATTATGAAGCCATCAACTAGATAGACTCGAGAAAACGTTTAATCCTTTGGTCAGTTCTTCGGTTTACTGTCCATTACTTTGGTCCTCTTAGCCGGATGACTTCCAAATTGTGTCACTTCCTAATATCCCAAGCATCTATCTTCTATACATATCTCGCTGGATTAACGTGTAACCTAACACATGTGTAGTCCTTTACAACAAATACAAAAACTTAAATCCTATGACCTAAATGACACACATGTCCTTTATAACAAACATAGACTTGTCTCAGACCACCAGTAGAACGTGAATTTTATGGCCATCTGTAATAGAAAAACATCTTGATACCATAACGCAAAGCAGGGGGTTGACGTCAATGCTTTGTGAACGTTAATAGGTCACATATGACGGAAGAGTATTGTTTTTGTTTAAACTTTTACGTGCGTACGTAAAATATTAACGAATTGAAGAGAGTTTTGTCTGTTGTCAATAATACTTAGGCTGAGTGAGTTGCACCACCTTATTTTAACCATCACCTATACAGGGTGTTAGGTAAATGGGTATATGGTATTTTCTGACTTCACCATACCATTTATATGATCATGTTAACAAGGGCTAGTGTCGGCTCATATACCCATTTACCTAACACCCTGTAGTCGTTAAGTATTAACAGACGAGTAAAACTTTCTGTCCCGAATTCGATAATGTTATTGTTAATGGAATAAATGACTATGACTGACTTGGTTAATCGGTAGACCTTCAGTAGACTTTTTAATATTTTTAGTATACCTCTTAATTTACCAACAATAGTATTAATTGCGTCGTTTCAATTGAGTTAATATTTGCACTAGAATCTAAAGAAGTTCATTTGCTAAGTTGAACATCCTTGTATTGTGTGTTTTTAATAATTAATTTTAATGTAAATATTCTGTCTACATGTAAATTCGTAGTGTTTCATTAATTATATTTAATACTCAATATGTTTATTATACAGGATGGAATTTTGTAATGCCACCTGGAGGAAAAGTTCTCTTAATGCCTTAGATAGAATTGAACTCAAAGAAAACATTCCTTTATTTTTGAAAAGAAAGAGAACTGCATTCAAAAGTACCTAGCGCGAGCTGAGCGAACTGATGGCTGGGCCACTCGGTAATAGTCGCGCTGAGTGATGGATCACCCGCAGCGAAATTAATCCTGAATAGTACGAAGTCAAGGATTGAGTTCCTTCCACTGTAAAATAATCAAATAGGACTATTATTCAGTGGTTTATTTACTCTTATTCTAATAGCAATGTGTTGTTACAGAATGGAGAGGTGACGACAGGCGCTCGCGACGGCGCTGCGCACGTGTTACGATGCCTGAAGGTGTGGTTCGATCTGCCTGCCAGCGTGCTAGTGCACGCCATCAACTTGTTCGACAGGTGAGCGAAGCGATGGCTGGGCCATTTTGAAATAGTTAAATAAGCTAAGGCGATAATAGCCCAATAAATAAATTTTAATTAATTAAATAAATAAAAGACACTCATAACATGAACTACTGTCTGGAATATTAAAGTGAAGAGCAAAGCAGTGAATGAATCAGTCTGAAATAGTAACGAAAATTAAGCTAAAAGATACGCGAGCAGAGCGAAACTGTGCTTGGATTAATCGGGAACAGATACGCTGCAGCTTTGGGTGATGTGAAGCGAATGGCTGGATTATTTTGCAATAGTCACACTGAGTGAAGTGATGGCTGGATCACTCGGAAATAGTCATGTGAACAACAAAAACATGACTGTAAGAGTTTATATTCTGTCAATTGCTTAGTTTGGGACTATCGGCGCGGTGTAAAATGTCCGAGGATATTTATTTATTTATAATTATAAATGTCAGGCAGAATATAAACTCTTACAGGAAAACTAAAAAAAAACACACCGTTTCCTCAGTACAAACTTACATTTACACTTAGTACACAACACCATACATTCCAACTGCAACCCTACCTTCGTTCCCAGGTTCCTAACGAAGATGAAGGTGCGTCCGTGCCACGTGCCGTGCATCACTGTGTCATGTATGAACATCGCCATCGACGAGTTCGCTGAACAAACGCGACAGCCGAGGACCGTTTCTGTTGAAGAACTGGGTAAGTCATCATCATCATCATCAGATATTTGATCACTTACTAGGTTTCCCTATGTTTTTCCAAAATAAAATTTAGCCTATGTTACTCGTGGATAATGTAGCTTTCGAATGGTGAAAGAATTTTAATTTTTAAAAACGGTCCAGTAGTTTTTGAGCCTATTCATTACAACCAAACAAACAAACAAATTTTTCCTCTTTATAATATTAGTATAGATTTATGCCCCTTATTATTAAAAGTTACACCATAGTTTTAAAGTGACGTTTAGTATGGAATTGTCACAGGCCCGGTTTTTTGATGTCAAATGACAAGTGGTTAAATATTAGAAAAAAATGTTTTTCGAACAATGGTTAGCTTGACTTTTAGTACATTTTTAACTGTTTACATCATGTTAATATTCAACCATTAGTAGTGAAATTAAACACCAGAACCAGAACAGACGGTGAAACGCAACTGCAACAAAACCAACTGCTAGTTACTTTTGAGTTGCATCTAAGTTTCTGCCATAGCGTCCGTTGAGAGACCACACATGATGCGACCAGTTTGAAACTTTCAGTTTCATTCATCAGAATCATCAGAAAGTTGCAGTTTCGTTTCAGTTGCGTTTCACCGTCTGTTCTGGGCCTTAGTTATTTTAACTATGAATAAAAAAATTGGGCCTAAGTAACTTATTATTAAGGGAGATTATTAGCGGCTCGCCCTGGCTTCGCATGGGTTTATTTATACAAGTTCTGAGCGATTTAAAAATACATAATTATATGGAGGAAGTCACGGCCACGCTGTCGACTGTTCTAATGTTTAATAGCAATAAAGAATTTGTATTTGTCCACAGTATCAATCTCCCAGTCGGCGTGCACCGCGGGTGACGTCACTCGCATGTCGCGCGTCATCGTAGACAAGCTGGCGCTGGCGAAAGGCACGCGCTGCGTCAGCGTGCTGGAGTGGGCGAAGCTGATTCGCGCTCTGGTCGCCGACGCGGCCCGACAAGTGGGGGCCGAGTCGCCGGTGGGACAGGTGCGTACAGGAACATATGATAGCCAAGGAAACACATGTTCGAGGACCTAGACACTTACTCTCTCTCTGTCACCACTCTCCTCTCTCTCTCCTCGCTCTAACACACTCCCAGTCTCCCTTTTACACACTTGCTGTCCCTCACACACTCGCTGTCCCTCTCAAACACTCGCTGTCCCTCTCAAACACTCGCTGTCTCCCTCTAACACACTCGCTGTCCCTTTCACACACCTCTTTCTTTCTATCTCTAACACTCGCTGTCCCTCTTACACACTAGCTGTCCCCCTCACACACGCTGTCTACCTCTAACACACTCGCTGTCACTCTCACTCACTCGCTGTCCCTCTCACACTAGCTGTCTCCCTCTAACACACTTCCTCTCCCTCTCACACACTAGCTGTCCCTCTCACACACGCTGTCTCCCTCTAACACACTCGCTGTCTCCCTTTCACATACTCGCTGTCTCCCTCTCTCACAATCGCTGTCCCTCTCACACACTCGCTGTCCCTCTCACACTCGCTGTCCCTCTCTCACGCTCGCTGTCTCCCTCTAACACACTCGCTGTCCCTCTCTCACACTCGCTGTCTCTCTCACACCTCTTTCTTTCTCTCTCTAACACTCGCTGTCCCTCTTACACACTAGCTGTCCCTCTCACACACTCACTGTTCCTCTTACACACCCTCGATCTCTCTCTCTCTCGCTGTCCCTCTCACACACTAGCTGTCCCTCGCTGACCCTCTCACACACTCGTGCCTCTAACACACGCTCGAGTGACGTCACATGTCGCGCGTCATCGTGGGCAAGCTGGCGCTGGCGAAAGGCACGCGCTGCGTCAGCGTGCTGGAGTGGGCGAAGCTGATTCGCGCTCTGGTCGCCGACGCGGCCCGGCAAGTGGGGGCCGAGTCGCCGGTCGGACAGGTGCGTAAATACTGGCTACAAGATACGCGTTTTCAGATTAAGACACTTTCTATTCTAACTCTCTCTCTCTCGCCCATCTCTCTCTCTTCTGTCTTTATCTCGCCCCTCCCTTTCTCTCTTTCTTCTCTCCCTCTCCAGCACACTAATCCACTCCAGACAGGTGTGTACAGAAACAACAACACACGCATTCGAAAACATAGACACTCGCTGTCCCTCTTACACACTTGCTGTCTCTCTCACACACTAGCTGTCATCTTACACACACTCGCTCTCCCTCTAACACACTTGCTGTCTCTCTCTCACACTCGCTGTCCCTCTCACACACGCTGTCTCCCTCTAACACACTCGCTGTCCCTCTCACACACGCTGTCTCCCTCTAACACACTCTCTGTCCCTCTCACACACGCTGTCTACCTCTAACACACTCGCTGTCCCTCTCACACACGCTGTCTACCTCTAACACACGTGCTGTCCCTCTAATACACTCGCTGTCTCCCTCTAACACACTCGCTGTCCCTCTTACAAACTCGCTGTCCCTCTCACATACACTAGCTGTCATCTTACACACTCGCTGTCTCCCTCTAATCCTTCTCACACACTCGCTGTCCCTTTCACACACACTCGCTGGCCTTTTCTCACACACTCCCTGTCTCCCTCTCTCACACTCTCTGTCCCTTTCACACACTAGCTGTCTACCTCTAACACACTTGCTGTCTCCCTCTAACACACTAGCTGTCCCTCTTACACACTCACTGTCTCCCTCTAACACACTCGCTGTCCCTCTCACACACTCGCTGTCCCTCTTACACACTCGCTGTCCCTCGCTGTCTCCCTCTAACACACTCGCTGTCCCTCTCTCTCACTAGCTGTCCCTCTTACCCACTCGTTGTCCCTCTCTAACACTCGCCGTGCCTCTAACACAAGCACGAGTGACGTCACCAGTCGCGCGTCATCGTGGACAAGCTGGCGCTGCTAAAGGCACGCGCTGCGTCAGCGTTCTGGAGTGGGCGAAGCTGGTCCGCGCTCTGGTCGCCGACGCGGCCCGCCAAGTGGGGGCCGAGTCGCCGGTGGGACAGGTGCGTACAGAAACATAATATGATAGCTAAGGAAACACATGTTCGAGGACTCGAACACACTCGCTGTCCCTTTCACACACACTTGCTGTCTCTATCTCACACTCGCTGTCCCTCTTACACACTCGCTATCGCCCTCTAACACACTTGCTGTCCCTTTTACACACTCGCTGTCCCTCTCACACACTCGCTGTCTCTCTAACACTCGCTGTCTACCTCTAACACACTCGCTGTCTCTCTCACACACACTCGCTGGCCCTTTCTCACACACTACCTGTCTCCCTCTCTCACACTCTCTGTCCCTTTCACACACTAGCTGTCTACCTCTAACACACTTGCTGTCCCTCTCTCACACACTAGCTGTCATCTTACACACTCGCTGTCTCCCTCTAATCCTTGGTCCTTTCTCACACACTCCCTGTCTCCCTCTCTCACACTCTCTGTCCCTTTCACACACTAGCTGTCTCCCTCTAACACACTAGCTGTCCCTCTAACACACGCACGGGTGACGTCACATGTCGCGCGTCATCGTGGACAAGCTGGCGCTGGCGAAAGGCACGCGCTGCGTCAGCGTGCTGGAGTGGGCGAAGCTGGTCCGCGCTCTGGTCGCCGACGCGGCGCGCCAAGTGGGGGCCGAGTCGCCGGTGGGACAGGTGCGTACATACTGGTTATAAGATACGCGTTTTCAGACCAAGACACTTTCTATTCTCTCTCCCTCTATGTCTTGTTTTTCACTCCGTCTCTAGCACACTCATTCTATCTCTCTATCCACTCTTTTCGCTCTCTCTCGATCTCTCTCCCGCTCTCACCACTCGATCTCTCTCTCTCTCTCTCTCTCTCTCGCTGTCCCTTTCACACACTAGCTGTCTCCCTCTAACACACTAGCTGTCCCTCTAACACACGCACGGGTGACGTCACTAGTCGCGCGTCATCGTGGACAAGCTGGCGCTGCTAAAGGCACGCGCTGCGTCAGCGTGCTGGAGTGGGCGAAGCTAATTCGCGCTTTGGTCGCCGACGCGGCCCGACAAGTGGGGGCCGAGTCGCCGGTGGGACAGGTGCGTACATACTGGCTACAGGATACATACATACATACAGGATACTTTCGAATAATTTAGACTTTCTTTCTTCAGACCTAGACATTCCTTTCTCTCTCTCACCACTCTTCTCTTACTCTGACCACTCTCTTCTCTCTTTCTCACACCTCTATCTCTCGCTCACCTCTTTCATTCTCTCTCTAACACACTCGCTGTCCCTCTTACACACTCGCTGTCCCTCACACACACTCGCTGTCTCTATCTCACACTCGCTGTCCCTCTCTCACACTCGCTGTCCTTCTCACACACTCGCTGCCCCTCTTACACACTCGCTGTCTCCCTCTAACACACTCGCTGTCCCTCTTACACACTCGCTGTCCCTCTCTCACACTCGCTGTCCCTCACACACACTCGCTGTCTCCCTCTAACACTAGCTGTCCCTCTCTCACACTTGCTGTCCCTCTCACGCACTAGCTGTCCCTCTCTCACACTCGCTGTCCCTCTCACACACTAGCTGTCCCTCTCACACACTCGCTGTCCCTCTCTATTGTAATCAATAAAGCTACTCAACTAGGGACTGACGAAGTGACTGGATTAACACATGTTTCCCCAACAACTGTCACGTTTGCACTAATTCAAAAAACGGCTACCGCAAAGCAAGTACGGTCTGAAGATAACTTCGTATCGTACTTTAAACTCAACTGAATGGCATTAACTCTAAATACATAATAAAGCGCAAAATTATAAAACCAGTGCGTGGCTAGGGAATGACGCTAAAAGCTGTAGACTCTTTTTCAACTAAAGAAAATCAAATTATTGTTTATTGCAACCGCAAAATATTAATAGAATTTGGTGTAATATACATTTATATAGATTATTCGTTAATTAAAACAAAGGATAAAGTTGATGTTTTTATAACTGTGGGTACCAAAACACAAACTTTTAGAGTACGGACATGCCTAGGGAATGACGTTTTGGGTCATTCAAAAGGAATTTAAGATGTTTTAAAAATAGTTTCAAAAATATAAATGGGTGATGAATAAAGCACATTGCGAGCTGTTATTTAACAATTTTGGAATAAAATATTAACAAATATTTCATGTGAAATGTGGCGCGGACTAAGAGTTGACATATTTTTGTGGAATGACCCATTTATCACACAGTGTTGCTGCTAGTGACATCTCGCTCGTTGAGTCCGTTGTTGCTCTATTCCGCTAGGTATACTTTATGGTCCTTTATGTCAATTGGCTGGTGGGTGGAACTCGCTGCCTGCTGCTGTCTTTCCCGAATATTATAATCCGGGCCTTTTCAAGGCGAGACTGAATATTATAAGACACAGGGCAGATATTTTATGTACCATCCTAGACTGCATCTCACTTAACACCAGGTGCGATTGCGGTCAAATACCTGCCTTGTTTTATGCATAAAAAACTAAAAAAAGTTCACAACTTTATTATTAATAATTATTATTGTTGTTGCAGGAGAGCGAATTAGTCAACCTGGTGGAGATTGCTGTGTGCGACGCGGCGTGCGCGAACGTTCGCGCGTCCGAGCTCGCTCTGGTGCTCGTCTTCCACAAAATTGGTGAGCGCACACCTTTATGTCTTACTTGATTTATGCCCGTTTTTACCATCAATCCCCAATTTCTAAGTGACCTCTATGAAAACAAAATGCCTGTTTAAGTGTTACCATAGGGGTCACTTAAAAATTACGGATTGATAGTGAAAACGGAGCATTAAGGTCCTATGTCCCCTAGATGGGGCAGAGGGCGTCCATAGTCCTCCATCGCGTTCGGTCTTGAGCTTCGCGTGTGATTTCGCTCCAAGTTTTGTCGACTTTTTTCGCCTCGTTATACAACCCTAACCATTATACAAAGAGCGGGTTTGCTCTACGTCCGATCCAAAACCATCAAAACACGGATCTAGAAAACTACTAGAGAAATCGGATAGCAGGGATCGTCTACTTTCGACCATATTACTATACTGCAAACTTCGAAAGTAGTGCGAAACTACTCGATCTGCAAGAGGAGGCGCACACCGTTGATTTTTAGTTGGCCGATAGTTGTACCCGATTTTAAATTGTATGAAGAATCGGCCAAATCGAATCGGCGTAGTGTGCGCTCTCCCATACATGCCCATACTGATCAACTGCCCGAATAAACTATCGGCCGACGAAAAATCAACGGTGTGCGCCTACTCTAAATGTACGACTGCTTATAAGTTAAAAAAACATTTTTGTATTTTATTTCACTAAATCAATCATAATAACGTATTCTCACACACCATGTTAATTTTTCCTTGCGTCCCTTGACAGCTTGAAAATAAAGCGCAGTGTTTGTCGCTTCGTTAGGAATCTGTTAAGTAGTAAGTTATTAGTAATTTGTGGTAATATACTAACCTGTTTTTTCTCGCAACAGAACAACAGCTGGTGGAGTGGTCACGCAGCGGCGCGGTGCCCGAAGACGCGTACTACATCTACGACTACGCGGCCCAGTTGCAAGCGCACTGCCACGTGAGTACTCGCCGATATTGCCCTTATGCCCGATTCGACCAAACTTTATCCGAGAATAACTCCTGTAGGCCTAAGATGCGCGCAGTGATAAGCGGTTATCACGCCATTTTATCGATTTTGCCCATACATTCTGACGTCGATAAAAGTTATCACGGCGCGCATCTTAGGCCTAATGGTATAACTGACACATTGACAGGTTCACTATGGAAAATTTGTCAAAATGTCGAATAACTTCCCCCGACCCACCGAGACCCAAGGGATGACATAGTGAATAAATTGTAAACTAGCTTTAGTTAGAAAATTATAAATAACTTGAAAAAATCTTAGCTTTAGTTAGTTTAGTTCAATAAAGAACATCCCATCATCCCATCCCTAGTAAAAATCCTCTGTAGTGGCTAAAAAAAATGACGAATAACTGACGATTTATTTTGAGATTAATTAATATCTACTCTTGTTTGGTTGAATTCACCCTTAGGAGGCTTGTTTAAATGTTAATTTCCCCGAGTGACACAGTAGCTTTTTGTAGCCGTCAGTCCTATCGCATCGGCACAGTGCCGATGACCGACGTATGTAAACGAAACTGTGCTCGACTCTGAGAAAAGCTAAATTACTTGTTGATGACATTGAGTAGACATTTTTTTAAATACCTTCGCAAAGAAAATTTTCTGTACGTAGTAATTATTATTATCCTTAAATAAATAAATAAAATAAATTATGTGGCCTGTGCCCTTAAGTTGTCTGAAAGAGATCGCTTCTTAGCAATAAAGCACTTGTCGCACTAGATGCGGTCGGCAAGTCAAATGAACGCTGACCGTACGTCTCAGTTTGCGTTCTTTGTTCGTGCCCGCAATATCAGCTTGCATCAATACAAAATTGATCGAACAGAAGCGCGATCGCATCCTGTTGCGTTTTCCTTTTTTATGTCGTGTTCACGTAGCCATGCCTTCAAATCATGTCGCTAATTGGCAAACATTTAAACTGAAATACTGATAATGTATACTGCGAATGTCTTGTATTTTGCTGTTGTATTATACCTTTGTTATTAATTGCAGATGTCAGACGCGTCTTTAGTAGCAGCCCGGGCGCGCGTACGAGGCGTGTTGGCCCGATACGAGGCGCGCGCCGCCGCGCCGCACCGCCAGCGCCTCGTATGGCGACTCTCGGAACGCACGCTCAAGGTAACGCATCAACAACACTCATAATATAAAGTCGGATTCTTTAGAAATTTCCCTAAATGTAAACAAATATGGCCAACTGCAATGATATTATATAAAAACAAAAGCAGATATGTCATAAGCGCTCGCGCTGTGAATACTCAAAAACGTCCCAATTGGGACGTCTTGTGTTTAGTCTTCGTGTGGCCTGCGTCGTGCGCAATCGCGTACCACACCGTAAGTTCCTGTTCTTACCAAAATAAATAAAAAATGCCATCGTGTGTGTTTCGAAAGTGTACCAATTATGACTCTAAAGTAAACAAAATACAAGGGATCTCTTACCACATGTGATTATGCAAAATTATTTAGTATTTATATTTTCAATTAATTATGCAAACAATCAAGACGCCATGCGCCATGTTCAAGTTAAGAAAGAGAAAGCGATCTTGTTTTGACGTTAGAGCGATAAGGATGCGTGCGCTGCGGACATAGATTAGTTAGTGCAGAATCGTTAAAACTATAGCTATCTCTTTCATTTGCGTGCTATTTTGTATCTTTTGTTTCACTGATCAGTTACATTTGTCAATGTGTGCAATTTGGAATAGNAGGATGCGTGCGCTGCGGACATAGATTAGTTAGTGCAGAATCGTTAAAACTATAGCTATCTCTTTCATTTGCGTGCTATTTTGTATCTTTTGTTTCACTGATCAGTTACATTTGTCAATGTGTGCAATTTGGAATAGCTCGGCACGGATTAAAATCGTAATTTCTATGAACGTAACATATCTATAGTTCTATAATATCATTGGCCAACTGACATTAAAACATTTTTAATCTGTGCCCTAGTGAGGCGACAAAACCTCTCGTTAATCGCGAATTGAAATTATTGTAGTATTTACGTACCTATAGAAAGAATTTATAATGCTTTATAAAGCAGCGCATTAAATAATTAGTAGTAAATTTAATGAAGAAAAAATACATTGTTGATTAAGACCCTATTTAAATCAATTTAAATGCAATCAGTTGAGTAATAAAAATGATTGAATAATTGAAATAAAATCGATTAAATTTACCGATTATTGTCTATGACTTACAGGTTACAACACTGATGTGTCAGAGACAACATGGAGATTACACATAATTTTAAACTTCAAGTCAATTTGACAAGTCTCACAAATTTTCATCGTCCACATATTTTGCTAAAATAATTTGTTTCAAAGATTGATTTCAAACTTGTATAATCGTGAGAATAAAGTTGGTTTCATGGGCTTGTGAAATAATGTGTATGATATTATGAACACGTTAGTGATTATGGTGTAATTGTGTGCACAAGTGTTTGTGTAAACAAAGGAAATTTCTAAAGAATTTAGGTATACTACGTCAGATGTCTCTATACATATCCCGTATATATGTTACGGTCAAAGTGATAAATGTGAAAATTATGAATAATCGCCGGTTATTATGAATAATTACCGCATGATTTGGTAAATCCCAACTATCCCAACTAATATTATAAATGCGAAAGTAACTCTGTCTGTCTGTCTGTCTGTCTGTTACGCTTTCCCGCTTAAACCTCGCATCCGATTTTGATGAAATTTGGCATAGAGATAGTTTGAATCCCGGGAAAGAACATAGGATAGTTTTTATCCCGGTTTTTGAAACAGGGACGCGCGCGATAAAGTTTTTCTGTGACAGACAAAATTCCACGCGGGCGAAGCCGCGGGCGGAAAGCTAGTGTGATTAATATTACGTCATTTATGTGTGTATAAAACTAAATAGGCGGCTTAGGGGTGGCCCAAGGGCCCCCCCCCGCCGCACCTTAACCTATTTTTCACTTTAAATCAAAACATTATGTTATAGGCATCATGGAAAAGTAATATTATGCAA